GCCCGGAGCACTGACCCGGTGCCCGGAGCACTGACGCGGTGTTCGGAGCACTGACGCGGTGTTCGGAGCACTGACGCGGTGTTCGGAGCACTGACGCGGTGTTCGGAGCACTGACCCGGTGCCCGGAGCACTGACCCGGTGCCCGGAGCACTGCAGATAGGTAATGCGCATATTTTGTGCTCGATTTAGTGCGTCATACGGTATCGAATATATTTTAAGCTTGGCATACATTTTACTGTGCTATAGATTTATACTCTGTCGGCCTGACTGCTCTCCAAGGCGATGCCCGCCCTATCCCTCCGGCTCCACGTGCCGGGCATCGGGTAACAGGGAGGCGCCAGCAGTGCTGATGTGACCGCTCTGACAGACGGGGCAGCGGGACGGGCCGGCCGGGGCTCGTGCTGAGTTCCGGCCGGCCGCGGGCCATCCTACGGCCCAGTGAAATAGCGTCATTAGCGGCGAATCGGACAGAGCTGGCGCCATCCTGGCTGAGAGAGGGATATCCAGTAAACACGGCAATAGATATATCTATATCCATGCACATTGCACAATGTACCTACATCATACAAGACAGGTGACATTCGAATTAGTGACGTCAGTTAGGTACGGAAAATCGTGATGCCGATACCACTAATCAAATACCAACAATAGCCATAGGAAAATACCGAAACCAAACCAAAGCGGGAAAATCAGGTAAATACCAACATTTTACCAAATTTACCTACAGTCTCTTACATTATCGACGATTCAAAATACCAACAAAATACCTCAGTGCACTAGCCTTAAAATATCGAATACCAAGTTGGCATCGGTTTGGTATCGGTACCTACCAAAAGTTGATATCCGATTGACGTCTCTAATTCGAATGCTCGATGAGTTGAACCTCGCTTGACAACATCAACTATTCCATAACCATATTATGCACGTTGGGGGGCGGCGGCCGAAACGGCCCCCTCTCCTAATTCGTCGATATCTCCTAAGCATGCGGATATCGTCACCAAACGTTCGGAATCCCTCCGGACATCAATTTAACACCTTGTGGCCATATTTTTTCCAGAGGCTATGATAGATAAGCCACAAATATGTTCTGCCATTTTCGACCAAAAAAGGTCTTGCAGGAAGAGCTGTCACGCCTACAGTTTTGAAGATAGAAAAAGATGTTAAAGAAAAAAAGGCAGAATTAAGAAGGTTACAGCACTGTTATCTAAAACTTTGGAAAATTTCGGAATTTGATAAAGAAACAATAGATAGGTACATACATACATATACCTAGTTTTCTTTTGGACCAGTAGCGGCAGAACACCTTCAGGCTTCAATAAAGGGGGGCACGGTGCCCCGGTGCCTTCCCCTTTCCGACGCCTATGCTTTGGACATCATAGCGTAAAAGTATCATATGTAAGTTTTCGAGAGAAAAAAAAAACAATGCATGTCATACGAGTATAACCCAATCCAAGTTAACCATCAATATGCTCAACTTCGGATCGATTGCTTCTTTTTGGCAAGCTATGGCGGAGAAAACTACTCAAAATTACTGTCACAAAATTTTTAACTCCATTTTTAGACGTTCTAGACCACTGCAAAACTAAGTGTACCATTGGATTCCCCGTGACGAGCTGCATCGAATCGATACCCTTTTTATGCAAAATATTAATTTTGAGATTTGAGTTTTTGTGACCTGACCAGTGACCTTGACCTGACCTTCATCAGAACGTAACCTAAACTGGTCCCAAGAGTCGCCTAATACCTACCTACACATAATTAAATTTGAAATGTAAAACTGACCATAACCTTTAGGTATCACACAACCCTAACTAGTAAGTACTGTAGGGGTAGTTGGGACAGTATCGTGACCCCTAGTGACATGACCTCTGTGACCTGATCTGGTCTATCGGTGGTCTCATTCAACAAAATTTGCATTGGGGAAATATTTCTCTGTCGATGATTTTCGATAACATGCTGTTTACTCGATGTTATAACCCAGTAAACATGACGACGTCGGCCCGACGTCGGGCCGAGGCTCGGCCCGACGTCGGCCAAACGTCGGTCCAACCTCGGCCCGACATCGGCTGAACGTCGGATATGCCCGCATGTTCCGACGTCCAGCCGAAGTCCAGCCGACGTCGAGCCGACGTCGGGCCGAGATCGTTTGCCGAGGTTGACGAGATCGTTTGTCGTTGGACCGACGGGGCCGACGTCGGCATGTTTATTGGGACAACGCGCCAAAAGTATCAACCGGCGGCGGGATTCGAGCCCCCAGTCGCCGACGTCGGCATGTTTACTGGGACAACACGCCAAAAGCATCAGCCGGCGACGGGATTCGAACCCCATGTCATTCGAACGCGAGGTTAGTGCGCTAACCACTACACCGCGCAGCCAGCTAACGAATTTGGTTTGTTTTGTTGGGTTATGCCCTTTCGGTCTGACAAGACCATTTCAGAGCCGGAAGGATCATAGGATGGAGACATTGGTCTTCTTGGCGAGCACCCTGGGTCCATTTCATAGAGTCCCTGGTCCCATTGCTGTTACGTGACACTTACTGGAAAGGGCGACCCCACAATGGATTCATATAGCCACTCTTACACACCTGCACCAACGTTTCCCAAAGTGTCCCTTTGATAAGTGGCACTTTGGCAAAGTGACACTAGCCGACTGGCCTTTCTATATGAACTGGGCCCGGCCCTGGTGAGTTGCCGGGGCTGAGCCTGACCAAAGGATAGGCCGAGCAGCCCCCAAGCACTCACCGCTCCCGGCTACGGGCGAGCTCGGCTTACGGGCAATCCCAAATGGGATAAAGTTTCCCGTCCAGTCCGGATCAGGGGGTTGCGGCGTGGAGGAAGATTTGAGTTTCCTGAGGATATTTTGAATACAGAAGCTCTTTATGAAGCACGAAACATGTATTTTATATTATTTTAACGGTCAAAACAGCGGCCGATGTCGGTCCGACGTCGCCCCGACGTCGGCCCGACGTCGGCTGGACCTCAGCAATTGATCTCGGTCCGACGTCGGCCCGACGTCGGCAGGGCCTCGGCTGGACGTCGGAACATGCGGGCATATCCGACATCCAGCCGACGTCGTGCCGAGGTTGGACCGACGTCGGGCCGACGTCGGCATGCCGATGCCGAGTTGCCGACGTCACCCCGACGTCGGCCGACATCGGGCCGACGTCGGCATGTTTACTGGGAAGTTGATCATTTTTTTTTTTTTTAGAAGGCCCGTGTAAACAGTCAGAAATGCGACCTTGGACCCTGTGACGTTATCGGCTCCAACTACATTGTCACAGAAGTTTGGTCACAAGAAAGTTCCTCGGTGGGGCAGGGGCTATCAAACGCCGTCGCCGTTTGAATTGTGAAAACCGTTCGGCAGGTTTCCGAGATCTGGGGGGGGGGGGAACCCCCGCCCTTCTACGGGTGGCAGGGTCCGGTGAAGGCCCTACGGGGCGCGGGCTAATCGGCGAATTGAAGGATAAGCGCTTCGATGTTGTCGGAAAACACGAAGGCTAATCATGTGAACGGGATCGGACACAAAACGAGTGGCACGCTCCGAGAGTAAGCCCCATTCTGTTTCGTACAGAACTTTGACCACACAACTACCAGCAGCTCACCGCCGGAGCAGTAATTGCCGCCGGCTCACCGGGCTGAACCCGCGGCCCTCTCGGCCCCGTGTGCGGGGACTTTCCCCAGGCTGAGGAGGGGCACGTGGCCCCGTAAGCCCGAAAGTACCGCTTCGGAGCGCGCCGGTGAAATCCCGCACGTTTGTAAACCGTATTATATACGGTTCTGGCCAAAAATATTTGTCTCCCACGTAACAACGGATTCTTTTGAAATAAATTGCACTCTTTGAATGCTTAAGCCTTTCTTCAAGCGATCTGCACGTCGCGTTATTTACTTCACTTTCTCACAGGCAAAAGCAACGTAAGTAATGGCCGCAGGGCTCGAGAACCATAATCCAGTAAATTTGGTATGTACGCTACCGCCACCTAGTGACAAAGACGAGATCCTGTGCTTGACTGCCTAGATGGCGGTGAGGCCGACCGACCTGTGACAGTTCTCGGCTTGGCCGCCAGGTGGCGAAGACAGGCCCATAGTGTCCTGCTGAGCCAGCCCAAAGTCCAACTGCCTGGCAGTGGCCTGGCCAGCTGCGTCAGCCTGCAGCCCGTCTCTGCCCTGCACCATCAGCAGGTAAATTCAAAACCTTTATCGGTATGAGATGTTCGATTGACTTCATTTCCGACATGGGGAGCGGTTGAGGCCGCGGGGTAAACGGTACCTAATTGTATATACCTAAATGTCGAAAATGCGAGAAGAAGGGGAGGGGTCGGGGAGCTGCTCCCCAGTCCTTTGATGTTTCTGAATTCTTATTCATCGTCAGGACGGACAAAAGCTTCTCCATGGCCAATCCTCATCCCTCTGGCCTCTAGCCTCCATTCCGAGCTAACGTTGAGTACGTTCTGACATGATTAGGGAATGGAAGCTCCTAGGCATGAGTAGCGGCGGAACACCTTGAATTAAAGGGGGGGGGGGGGGCACTGCCGACTTTTGATCCCTTTCTTTCCATGCAACGTCCATGGGCTAATGTTGAAATGGAAAATCAAGGAGGGGGGGGGGGCACGGTGCCCGGCGGTGCCCCATCCCCCCGTTCCGCCGCCTATGCTGAATGCTCCTAGCCGGCTAAGGGACATGCTCTCGTGCGGTAGGAACAGGAGTGGCCCGTTAGCCGGTGGCTAGGTGGCCTCTGCCGAAACAGGCTAGGGTCAGGTATTGCGAAGAAAGTCACTGCTACTTGATCTTTCATTTTCACTGGCGTAAAGATAAGCAGCACCAAACGTGGCCAAACAATACGAACCTTTTGGGTTCGATTCTGTCCGGGGAGGAATTTCTTTACTTGTCATTTGGAAGCATTCACCAGACCTTGGCCGATATGGAAACATTCTGAGGTAGTTTACCTTGCGCAGCTGTTTCAATTTTAACGCGAATTTGTTTATGTTTGTTTCGTTTGTTTCGTTTGTTTTCATTGAAGGCGTTTGGTATGCAATGCATGCTTCTTGAATTTGTTTCTTAATGTTAGTAGGTACTACGTAGGTACCTATAAAGAATCCTGACGATTTTTGTTACTGCAACTGAATGACTTTCACAATGGCTGAATGCTTCTCCTCTGAAAACCAGAAGGTACTCGAAGCATTTGCAAGCCAAGGTTTCATACCTACCTAATGTATAAAATGACATTTTGATTCTGTTGTTTAGATACCTGCCTACCTACCTATTATCATCAACCATTACTTCAAGACTGAACTGCCATGCAAATGTCAATTGTTAACAATCAATTGATTACCATCTGATCTACAGGCATCTTTGATGCTTCATTGAAGACCAACAATGAAATCAAAGAGCTTTCATTTCTTATTTCCTGGTGGAGAAAATGAGAGGTAAGGCACATATAACCTAGTTTGCAGGTGTACCATATTTGCATTGAATATTTGCATCATTCATCCAACATTTCAATGGTCCATAAATGCTGCTTTAACTCAGGACAAAAGAGAACTAGCAGTTCTTTAAATGCTATGAGAAATAAGTAGTTGACTTCTCTAGCTCCATGTCTTTAATCATGCCTGGTATGCGATGACTGTTTGTGAACTAAGCTGTCTGGTACCTATGGGTCTAGCTGCAATAAACTGCTCAGTTAGCACTATGTTGCATTGACTGGTCATATCCATTGACTAGCTGCTGTCTACTGATTGAGGCTGCCTTTGTGCTACAGGTGGCCAACAGAAAAGGCAGTGGTGGTGGCATCAATTGGGAAGAGTGCAGACCTCGCTGGTAGTGGCAAGGGCCATGCCTTCCGAGACCTTCTTAGTCACTCCAGCTTTGGCCCTCAGCCTGACCAAGACCTAGGTGAACAGCAGGTAATACAAACAGCTTGTCTTAGTGAAGCATTAGCTGATGTTAACAGTCTGACCTGGTCCTGGAAAAGACATTATCATCAGATTTCATCAAATTTTATCTTAACCCTATTCAAGGCCCCCCCTTTAGGTTTTTCTTGTGCCATTGCCAAACGCCGCAAGAGTGAAAGCTCATACTCGGTGACTTTTTCTAAACATTCATTGCGCACATTTTGACAAAAAAAAAGTTGCTGGGTCAGGTCAGGTCAGGTCACCAGAGGCGGTTTGGTGACCCTACCTCAGAAAAGTTTGCAATCACGCCAGAGCTAGAGTTTTTGACCGATCAATTTCTTCCTTTCAGGCTTTAGTTAGGGTACCAGTATGTGCAATTTGTATATCTCAGAATTTTCATATCTGTGACCTGAGGTCAGGCCAGACTCGTGACCTTTACATTGCAAGCCTATGGGAAAATATTGAAACGCCTCCTGCTTCGTGTAAACAAGTCAAAACCACCCAATTCTTTCAGTATTATGGAAGATTATCTCATCGGTGATGATCCTGGTGCCGCTAATTGACAGGGGCACCGGCAAAGGTCATCTGAGGTCATGTGACATCATAAATCGTTTTTCTGTCATTAAATCACGACATGATGGTGCTTAAGACTTGTAAGTGATACCAAACTGCTCGCCTGGTCAAGGCGCGTCGTTTGGTATGCAGCATGACCATACCCCACAACCTCATTGATGAAGGACCTGTCACCTGACCTTGACCTCAGGTCAAATTTCAAATTGACCTGTGAAGGTCATCACATACTTATTTCGCATCGCCTCGGCGAGAGCAATAAAAAATGTATTGGTTTTATGTCTCTATGTTTCTTAGTTTAAAAGTTATATAGGTAACTAATTCCAAAACATTTTATCGTTGATGACCTCTGGTGACCTAAATATTGACCTGACCTGAAAATGTTTTATGTAAAAGTTGTAGATCTTTAAACGACCTATCAAACGCCTTTTGCCGTTTGTCGCTGCGATGTGTAGTTTTTGAGATTTGAAGGGGGGGGGCCGAATCGGCCCCTCCCCCCCCGCCAGTTTCTTGTCCCGGCGGAGCCCGCCAGGAATAGGGTTAAATCTATTCAGTTTATGCTAAAACAGTTTGATGAAGTAGACAATGCCTAGATAGCTCAGAGCTCCAGCCCAGACAGAAAGCCAACAGCTTTTACAAGTATGCCTTGCGCCTCTATGTTTCCTGTGTACATTGACCACACCTTTTAGTTTCCTAGACGCAGTGGATCTCGTGCCGTATGCGCCGTCGTTTCCGGCCCTCACTGACCACGCCGGTGTCCGCCAGACGCGTGTCGAGGGGTTCTACTGCGCCGCCGAGAACGTGGTGTACCTGCACCTGCGCTCCTCGCTGGACACGGCCGCGCTCTGCCGACTCTGCCGGGACATGAGGGAGACCATCGACGAGAGCGTGAGTCAGCCGCGCCGCCCAGTGGTCCCCGACTCCCCGACTGCCCCTCGCTGTGCTGCCGGGACAGGGAGCGGCGGTGCATCGCTGGTTAAATAAGTGGATCTATGCCTCCACAGCGCCTCTTAGAGGTTATTGAGTGGTATCAGTTTTTACTCCACCATTTTTTACATTGTTTCCATGCACTGCCCCAAAAGTATGCATTCTAATGATTGTCAGTGTCATGATTTGCAACATGGAAAAAGGTATGTAGTTACGATGTGATTCTCTCACTTATGAGACGTGGCCTGTCCGGTCAGGTATGCTCGTGCTGATGGCATGGTCTGTTGGATAGTGTTCACTGATGGTGTGGTCTCTGGTCTGACAGGGTCTGCTGATTTTATGGTCTATTTCACAGGGTCTGCTGACGCCTGACAGTGTGGTCTGTTAAATAGGGTTTGCTGACGGCGTGCTCTGTTGACTAGGATGTTGATGGTATGGTCTGTCTGACAGGGGCTGCAGTGCTGACGTGGGCCGGTCAGTGTCCTGTATGATCCGCTGACGGTTTGCTCTCTCTCTCTAACAGGGCCTACTGACGGTGTGGTCGGAGCTGCGCTACTCGGCGGCCCGGGCCCTTCTGCTGCTGTTCTCCGTCTCCCACCTGGTGGTGCTCCACCACCCCAATCACGTGTTCGACCTCAGCTACATCCCTCTATTCCTGGCCATAGACGCGTGCCGGTGAGTGTTCGGGAGGCTGACAATGACCGCCGAGCCGTATCTGCCGGTGGGGGTGCCCCGCTGGGTGGCGGTGGCGGGAAAGGGGCGGTGTTACGACTGGGGCCATACGTGTTTGTGAGATAAAATGTGGTGGATATGGGAGAGGACAGAAACATTTCGGGGCCGTGGTGTATTGAACCAACCGCACATAACTAGTTTGATTTTAGCCAATACCGATGTTACCCATCAGTATGGGTGATGTTGTTCGCGCCAAAGACTGAGCCATTTATTTCATAGCTCCGTCCGAACCCCCCTGACACCCGGTCTGCCCACCATTCAGTCAGCGCCTGCTGCGTCCGGTGAGCGACACGCTGCGCTCGGTGGCCGGCCTGCCGTCGGGCTGGGTGAACCACGGCCGGCCCTGCCCGCCGCGCGTGCTGTTCCACTTTGGCAGCGTGCCGCCGGCGGTGGCGCGGCACCGTCCGCGCTCCGGCCGGCCGGCCACCGAGCAGCTGCAGCACAGCCTCGAGGACCAGATCTACCGGCTGCTCAGGAAGGTGCGACTCATCACCAACGCCAGGTGAGAGCCTGCTGGGGAAGGGATGGGAGGGTGACTGGCAGCGGGACTCTACAGACAAAATGTGAGCAGGTGCTTGGCCTCTTAATAGTAACCCTTTGCAAGGACTGGCATCTGCTTTAGGAATACCATGTTGGAAAATGGAGGAGTCACTTCCTAAACTGCCTGCTAAACTGATCGCTCCCGCCATGCTGTTGTGTATGTGGCACTGTTACTGTTATATATCGTCCGTTCTCACGCTGCCCAGAGACAGCCGCCGGGCGCCCTTGACCACCCTCTCTCTCTCTCTCTCTTTCCCGCCCATCCAGCAGAATTCAATCGCTATTTGTCGCCGCCACCCTGACCGTTTCGTTCCTCCGGCAGTGTTCAGTCGCTGTTTGCGCTCCCCGGCAACCAGCCGTTCGTGTTTGTGGAGGGAGGACGACCGCCGGGCGACTCTGACCCGCTGCTGGCCCAGGTCCGACTCCTGCACAAACTGTGCCTCTCGGGTGAGTCAGGGCGGACACCTGCACAAACTGTGCCTTTTGGGTGTCGGGACTGACACCTGCACAAACTGTGCCTGTCGGGTTAGTCTGACACAAACTGGGCTTATCGGGTGAGTCAGGGCCGAACCGTGCACCAACTGTGCCTCTCGGGTGTGTTAGTGCGGACTCCCGCGTTAACTGCTCATTGCGTGAGTCCTCAAATTGTGCTCATAGGGTGAGTCGGAACAGACTCCTACACCAGCTGTGCTTCTCGAATGAGTAATATCTGGCTCGTGCACAGACTCGATGGCTCAGGTAGCCCGGTGTCGAATAAGCTAAGTTTTTTTTTTTTGCGTTGACGCCGAGTGCCCCTCGCCAAGACCGTGTGCGGAAGACGGGAGGAGCAAGCGCAGCCTTTCCAAGTCACAAATCGTCAGGTACCATCAGATCAGATAGCACCAGCAGGCGACCAAACACAGAAGGCGATCAGTATGAAGACCTTTATTACCCTAACCGCGCTACAGTATTTGGTGCATCACATGACGACTAGCGAGGCAGGCCGGGAACAACCCGAGAACAATTAAGTACTTATCGAAGGAGTTCTGCTCGGCGCTCGGCGAACCAACGTATCCATGCTTAAAAACAAATATGGAATATACCATTCCTGGAGTCCATTATGCCCATTTGTGACCCCAAGGGTCGTTTGTTCTAAGCTGAGATGCAAATCTGAACAAAATTCAAGACGTAAAAATCGCAGCCACCGAATAAATATGCTACCGATAGCGCTTGCAGCCATGCCGCTGAGCATGAAGTACCCGCAGAACCGCGTCTATGTGACTAGAGATGCAATTCGAGGGACCCGCGACCCAAGTAAAGACGAGTCGTGCGGCGCTGCGCCGGGCGAGGCGGAACCTGCACTGCTGGTGCAGTTGGCGCTCGGTCGGACGGAGTCGGCCGCTCACTCCAGCCGCGAGTACATGTCGGCGATCTGCGCCTGGAAGTGGCGCCGGATCTGCGGCCGCTTGGCCTTCAGCGTGGGCGTCAGCAGGCCGTTCTCGGTACTGAGCGGCTCCGGCGACAGGTACACGTCCTTGATCTTCTCGAAGCCCTTGAGGCCGGTCTGCGCGGCGAGCCGGCCCAGCTCGGCCATCACGGCCGCCTTGAGCGGCGGCTCGGCGCACAGCTGCGCCAGCGGCACGTCGGGCACGCCCTCGCGGCGCCGCCACGCTTTCACAGAGTCCGAGTCCGGCACTACCACGGCCACCAGACACGACTTGAGGCTGTCACCGTCCACGAATATCTGGCCCACCAGCGGCGAGCGCATGAAGATGTTCTCTAGCCGCTCGGGGGCCACGTACTCGCCCTGTGACAGTTTAAAGATGTTCTTTTTGCGGTCGATGATGCGGAGGGTGCCGTTGGGCAGCCACTGGCCGATGTCTCCCGTGTGCAGCCAGCCGTCCTCATCCAGCGCCTCGTCCGTCAGCTCGGGCGCCCGGTAGTAGCCCTTGAAGACCTGCGCGCCGCGCACGCACACCTCGCCGCGCCCATCGGCCGCCGAGTAGCCCATGTCAGGCACGTCGGCCAGCTTGATGGCGCACGAGGAGAGCGGCGGCCCGACGTGGCCGACCGTGTGGTCGCCCGGCATCGTCAGCGTGCACGGACACACGCACTCGGTCTGCCCGTAGCCCTCCACGATCAGACAGCCGAGCGCGGCGCGCATGAAAGTGAGCACGGCCGGCGCCATGGGCGCGGAGCCCACCACCACCACGCGCAGCCGGCCGCCGAACCCGGCGCGCACCGGCGCCAGGATGTACTTGTCCCAGACGGTGTCGGACGAGACGACGCCGCGCGCCAGCTGCCGCTCCTTGGCGGCCAGCGCGCAGCGCAGCAGCGCCGACTTGACGCGGCTCTGGCCGGCCGTGGCCAGCGTCTTGTCGTGGATCCGGTTGAAGATACGCGGCACGGCCGGGATGCAGGTGGGCCGCAGCGCCTTCAGGTCGTCCATGAGGCCGCGGATGTCGCCCCGGTAGAAGCCGATGGCGCCGCCCACCATATACATGCCCACCTGGCAGACGCGCTCGAACGTGTGCGACAGCGGCAGGAAGCTGAGCATCACGTCGTCGCTGCGTAGCGTCTGGGTGTCCAGGTGTAGCAGCACGGCAGACACGTTGGCCACCACGTTCTCGTGGGTCAGCATCACGCCCTTGGGGTCTCCGGTGGTGCCGGACGTGTAGCTGATGGTGGCCACGTCCTGCGGCCGCGGCGGGATCTCCTTGACCGCCATCAGCGCGCCGCGCGACTCCACCTCGGCGAAACTGCTGACGCGCAGCCCGGCCTCGCGCACACGGCGCGCCGTCTCCGGGCTCAGCTCGCCCATGTGGATGATGTGCTGCAGCGCCTCGGGCCGCTGCTCCAGCAGACTGAGCGCGCGCGCGTCCGAGTCCACCACCACGGTGGAGATGTTGCCGTGCGCCACGATGTAGGAGCACGCCTCGGGGCCGAGCGTGTCGTACAGCGCCACGGTGATGATGCTGTACGCGTAGCAGCCGTACTCGGCGATCACCCACTCTGGCCGGTTCTGGGCGTAGATGCCCACCAGGGTCGACTGGCCCGGGGACAGGCCGCCGCCCACCAGTCCGCTGCCAAAGTCGCGCGCGCGCCGCACAAAGTCGCCGTAGCTGAGCCACTGGTAGGGCGCGGCGGCGTCGGCGCGCCAGCCGAGGCAGTTGCCGTCGCCGGAGAGCTTGAGGCCGCGGCGCGGTACCTCGTGCAGCGTGCGGCAGGCCGGGTCCAGGAAGCGGACGAACTCGCCGCCGTCGCGGTACTTGTCCAGCGGCTGGCGCGAGGTGCGCGCCTGCTCAGAGCCGGATGAGGCCGCCGCGCTCTGGTCGTCCAGTGGCACCGGCGGCTGCACCGGCGCCGGTTCCGAGAGCAGGTAGTAGGCGGCGGCGGCGCCGGCGGCCGCCGTCAGCGCCACGGCGCCGCCCACCTCCAGGTAGTCTGCCATCTGGTGGTCGGAAATGCGACTTCGAGTTTTGTTGTCTGTTGGCAGGCGGCCGCGGAGGGGAGAGCGGTTCCTATCTGCGCAGATAGAAAGGGTCGAGTCAGTCGAGTACGTTGGAATTCACCGAGACGCAAACATTTGGACGTGCGATGTCATACAAATATTTGGACCTGTCTGAACGATAAGGATGAGTGCCGACTGCCGGCTATCACAGAAATGTCGACTCGGCAATCCGAGCCGGCTGGGGTGACAGTTTTCACTACACTCAGACAACTGTTTGGCATGACATTATGGAGTCGGTATCAAACAATGTGCGCTCAGTGCTGCGATGCACGGCTTTCGAACTCCACATCAACCCTTGTCACATACACTCTACCCTCTGAATCTCTGCACAGTCTGTGCCTCACGGGTTACTGTGTACCGGGTCCTGGGTACACATGTGTCCAACTTTGCATACACAATGCTGTCTGTTTAACTCATCGGTCACATCGGCCGCAAAACGACTGCGCAATTAACACCATAAATACGCAGCGACCTTCAGCTCGCTGACCAAACAACCTCTGCGTTGTTCGCGATTCCGCAGAGCACGCTTTATAGCAGACATTTTCCAGCCGCCTTTCACAGGGTTATCAGGGTTTAAGACGATGTGTAGTCTCCTTATAGCTTAGCATATGTAGCGCACTTGAGTATCTATCTATAGCCTTGAAACCCGCGATAATGTCGGTCTCAACTCTCAATGACGGTAATCGGTGCAACATGCCGTCTATAGATGGCACGTCCGCGGGCGCGCCACTTGACACCTCTCGACTGGCGGTGACGGCACGCCCCTGTCAGCCTGAAGAGGCGCCTCCCGCGGAGACTTGGCGTCCGCCGGGCCCGAAACGGATCGCTATCAATAGCACACAATGTCCCGCTGGTATCGCTCTCGGGCGAATAGTGAGTAGTACGGGCTTAGGGATGACTCCGTCGAGCTGGAAGTCATTGCTTCCTTCCATTTGCACTAACGCTTTAGGATATGTTTTGTGTAAGTCGTAATAGTTAGAAACAATGTACTTTTTAATTATACGAAATCGAAATGTATTGCGATAGCAGAAATGGCATAAGTTTGATCTTCAATTTCATTACCACCCAGACTAATCCACACACCCTCGGAGGGCAATATCGAGTGTTGTGTGTTGTCGGGGAAAGAGCAGCGTATCCATCCGGTCGGCGACAGTCCCGTCACGTGCTAATGGAATCTCACGCACCGATAACAATGGCCATTTACGACCCGCCACGCCGCGTCCATACGCCAGGAGTGAAGTGGGGGCGCAAAAAAAGAGAGTAAAAAGCGGTCGTCTCGCCACTGTCGACCCAGGTACAAACTCCAAAGGTTCGATGGCGTGATGATGATGCCCCCTAAGCGATGTGAAGTTGCATAATGTGATTTTGATTTAAATGCAAAAAAGAAAGCGCACTAATGCTGCGACTTGCGCTCGCTTATAAAAATAATAAAGTTACTTTGTAATCTTGGTCTCCTTCATGGTCTCACTTCGTAGTTTATGCCTCTGGAAGTGAGGATAATACGAAGGCTTATACCCTTACCAGACTCTGTATAAGGCGCCCTAGGTATAAGGAGGCCGATTATAGCGGCATGAACCGACTACCACTGGGTGCTCCCATGTCCAGAACCGGTTTCTGACACCATTCACGGCCTCCATTTTTCCTACCGGCCCGCTACAGTGAGCCTGCTACCGGCCACCAACGAGCGACGACACCAGCGCGCGAGGAGCGGAAAACGTATGGCCCACGGACAAGTAACGCAGTCCCTTTCCCATCCTCGCCATGATCAACGTTATGCCCCATCCGCCCTAGTTGAAAAAGAACGAGTAGCACTGATTGCGATAGACCGATTATCGACAGCCCTGTTGCCCTTTTGGTAGACAAACAGATTTGTGGCCCCGCCTGGCCTGGTCGAACGCCTCGGCGCGCGGCTGACTCTCGGCTATTGATTTGGGGCGTGCCCGGCTTCAGCAAAGTACAGCGGTGTATGTAGCGGTGGAATGTTAACTGCGCCGCTGGGCTATGAATTCCGTCAAACCGGACAGTTGCGTGTCAGGTGATATGGCTCGGTCAATCTTTGGCAATGTGTCGATAGACAATACTACTGCGCCCATCATTTGACTGTTTGACCCGGCAGTCGCAACCCAAATTGAATTTACGAATTAAAATTGTTTTTGCTTAGCTTATAATCCGCATTTCTGTCATAAGATTTGCATCGTAAATCTTACCAAAGAATTTCAACAGGTTGTGAAGTTATCACCAAATATTTTCAGGGCAGATTCGTAACAGATTGGACGGTGTGTGCGATGGTCCCCGTTTTCTGTGCTGGCGCACGCAGGTGCCAAACACCAGTCACCTATACTTTACCTCCGGTGCGGCAGTCTGTCGCACACACAACAGTATGGGGCGGCGGTGGGTCGGCTGAGGCCACGCTCACCTCGCGCTGACGACCGGCGCACTTCACTGGGCCGGGGCCGTCGGCGGGGAGGCTTATACTCGTCTGTATCGGGTGCGGACGCACGGCCTCGCGGGGTGGGTGGACCGGGTGGACTCCGTCCCGTGCCGTCTGTCACAGCGGCTCCCTCCGCGCCACGCCGGAGGGGGCAGGGAGAACAAAAACCAGCCACGCGAGACGCTCGCTGCAGACAGTGGTCCGAATTAGAGTGGCTGCAATATAAGCACGCAGCATGTAGGGATGATGTAAACGATCCTTCACAAAATTTAAACAACAAAAGTTCCAGTTGATTGATGTTAACCATACCTGTGGTCTGATGTTAACCATACGTGTGGTCACTGATCACTAATGCACATACTATTTTACTATTCACCAAACTGGCATCGGCAGGCTGTGTAATTGGCGTATATTTGATTCTGAAAAGTAAATTATAAGATTCTAGTGGTATTCCCAGTATGATGCAAACCCACACCTATTTTTTTTTTTAATTCATGTTGCTTCAAAAACTTAAAATTGGTACGGTCAGGGCTATATTTATGAGATATCCTATCAAAGCCCACTGTGCTGCTGCTCATGGTGTTGTAGATGGAAGAATAATAGAAGGGCATGCACCTGCATGGTAACTGCTTTCTGATACATTTCTGGAAAACATTGTTTGTTGAAAATAGAGCATCTTGCAGTGTTGGTGTCATAGATGTGGCAAATGACTCATGTTTTGGTAACTTCACCTACATGTCCCTTATTGTTTTGATGTCATTCAGCAAATAGCCAGAATTCCTAAAAAGTACCATAAAGCTACAGTTGTAAAATAGCATTGGTTTACAATTCATTATGACAAATTGATGCAAGCTTATCAGAATTGAAGCAAAGTTCTAGGTCCATGAACAATTGTGGCTGTAGCTTTATATGGGTAGATAATCCATAATGCCTGTCTTTCTTCAACCCCTAGCATTTCACAAGTTTACATGTGAATTAATTGAGATAAAATGAGTGTCATCACATCACAAAAAAACATACATTGGTAATTCATTATGCTGCAAATTCACAACGGCAGCAGATCTGGTCATCTTCCTCCAGCATGTGCCGCTCGTGCTACATCTGCCTTACCAATACCCCTTCCTCTGCCCCAGTTTTTACAACCTTTTGTTGGAAGCCTACTTGAAAAGAGGTATGACTGGCAACAATCTCATAATGCCCCAGTACAGCCTGGAATCAAATACTGTGACCACCTCTCCCACATTTAGGTAGATACTTAGATACTTGGGTATTGAATTAAAGGGACCCTCCCACCTTAACATTAGATTTGAGTTGAGATAGCCAAAATGGGGTCCCTGGCTCACAATTACCGGTTTCGGCACTCACAACATCGAGAAATGCCTTAAATCGGAAATATTGAATTTCAAAATTGCAGCATTTTGATTCAGAGGGGCTAATGCTTAGGAATACCCCTCTGAATGTGTGACGTCAGCGCAAATATCTAACGATTTTTAAATGTTTGACTAAAACGTTTTGTAGCACGCTGTGGTATATGATATTTGCGCGCAACATCTGCCGCAAACGCCGCACTTCTAAAATAAAGTCGCTAGAAACAGCGGAGATCCCAAAAAGTAAACAAAAGTAAAAGTCTAATATCTTGAAAACCGGTGAATATTTTTCGGTGAAATTTGGTAGATATTCGTTTTCGCTCTTTCTGAACCGAGCGACATCACTTTCATGCTAATTCATAAACTTTTTTGAAGGTGGGAGGGTCCCTTTAACTGAATGAAAATACACTGATCCAGCTAACTTAACATAGACCTGCTGGTAGTGTTTCCCTCGCTTTGACATTAGGCGGGTACCTACATGTTGCAAATGTGCAGAAAAATTAAATCTTACTAATATTTGATTGAAGCAGTGGAAATGTGACTGGCCAATCACGTGGCAGCTGGCAGGGGCATGATCACATAGCGCACAAAAAAGCTGTTCCATGCATTACCTGTTTCTTTAACCGCTTCTGGTGGCCGGCACTGCCTGAAAGTGAACGTGAAGCCGGCTGGAGGCTCGCTCCCACGTCAGAGACACTCCCGACGGTAACCGGTTTTCTCAGCCAACCGGCGTTTCTCCCGATCCGGTGGCGTGACTCGTCCGTGTCCGTGAGCCTTTTCACATTTGACGTATGCTTTGTGAAAGACAGATTAGCGCAGGCTTAAATGTTTTGTGACGTCATTTTTACGTCATCCAGTCGTTGTAAATGTCGCAAGGAAGCGCAAGTTTGTCCCGACATCAATACTGAAGCTACTGCCATATTTTGTTTTGAAGGGAAAGTGGGAACACTTTTTCTCTACCGGCCTTTGAACCACCAAAGGCGTTACGGTCCAAGGGCGGACATCGATACAAGTGGCGCTACTCTAGCGGTAAATCTGAGAACTACTGACCGATCTCTGGTCATGTGACCTTGACCGGCTCCTGAGATTGGGGTCACGTGACACTCGGCCCGTCGGCGACCGCTCCGAAGCGAAAATTCAAGTTTGCAGTGGAACTTTGCATAGACGGACACCAATGACATATGATTCTAGATTAGCATTCGATACAGCGTTTAATTCTACACAGAATGACACTAAATTAAAGAGATTATCTGCCATCACTTCATCGCACTTTTTGTGGAACAGAAAGAATGTCGAGGCGACGTTGCATGCTAACGCAATGGGAGCGTAGCAGGGCGGCGTGCGATATGTACAGATTTATTGTTTTTGCCAACAAGCGAGGCAATAGTAAATTGAATCTAGAATGATATACGGTACTAAATTTAACGGGCTATTCAATGCTACTAATTATTCGAAGAATTAAAATAGCATCTCGTCGCAGATTTCAATTTGCTTACTCGTTAATATTTCCCAGGTTAGGTATGTACCTATTCGGCATTGCTCGTCTGACAACATTAACCTTCGAGTTTGCATCAAGTTTTCATGTTGATACGTACAATGAAATGTCGATTCTAGATGGCTTTTCAATAAAGTGCTCAATTCTACACAGTATGGCACTGTTGAAAAGGATAAATCTGCTATCACTTCACCGCACTATTAGTGGAACAAGAGGATATTGCGTATATTGCGATGGGAGCGGGACGCCGCCGCGAACGATGCATGCCAATTGATTGTTGCCAATAAACAACGGAATAATACGTTGGTTCCAGAATATTGTCCGGGAACACTTTTTACGGGCTTTTTAATGATACCGGCTATTTGAGGAATGAGAATGATATCTCGTCGCAGATTTTATTTTTCCTACTTGTGTTTATTTGGAGGCCCATGGAGCACTGCTGGCCATACATAGCTTTTATCAAGTTTAATTGGCATACACGATAAAATGTCGATTCTAGACAAGCATTCGATACAACGTTCAATTCTACACAGAATGACACCAAATTCGAGGGATTATCCGCCATCACTTCACCGCACTTTTTGTGGAACAGAAGGAGTGTCGAGCCGACGCTGCATTTTAATGCAATGGGCGCGTCCAGGGCGGCGTGCGATGTGTGCATATTTATTGCTTTTGCCAACAAGCAAGGCAATGGTGAATTCAGTCTAGAATCATGTTGGGTTCTAAATTCAACGGGCTATTCAATGCTGCTAATTATTTGAAGAATTAAAATAACATCTCGTCGCAGCTTTTAATTTCCTTACTCGTTAACCCGCGCCCGGCTGGGGGTCCTGGATTTCCACGCCCTGCTGGGGGGGGGGGGTGTTTGAACACCCCCCCTTGTAACTCGGCTCCTGGGCCACGTAGCGATACGCGGAAGGCGGCGTTCGAAAGAGCGTCAAAAATAATGACGAAATCACTTCGGTCAATTTTTTGGTCAGGTCAAAGGTCAGGTCACCAGAGGTCATTGAAGGCAAAATTTCGCCGATTTCCAGGTCGAATATCGAAAATTTCCAAGAAGCCAACGCATAACTCGGGAACCAATAGAGCTACAGCGCCGCGGAAAAGCGCATTCGATAGCCCTATTAACGCCCTTTCTGAGTAATTCTCTCAGATTTGACCTAACGTCAACGGTTTTGCCTGCAGGGGGCAAAAACTGCAAAAATAGCCGATTTTTTCGGAAACAGTCTTTCGGCAATAACTTTTGATCCAAGCCTTGTACGAGCTTAATTTTACCGGCATCGTGTTCCTCTCGTCAAGACGCATCGAATGAACTATAACTTGACCTTGAAAGGTCAACTTGAAAATTTGACCTCAGGTCAAGGTCATGACCTGACCGGAAACGGTCATGTTGCATATCAGTCGATCCGTATCGTCGAGCTGAACACATCTAAGGCGTTTTCATCGCTCTAGCATGCCTCTATCAAAAGTTATTTGCGAAAAACTGTTAGATACAATTCGTGACCTAAGATGACCTCAGGGCATAAACAAGGGTCACGGACACCATTTTCATATTCAGTGTGTCTAAACCACTTGTAATTCAGTGTTTGGGAGTGTTTATAATGTCGTTCGTCCAAAAGAGGCGCATTTCAATTTTCTCCCATTGACTTATAATGGGGAGGTCGCAAAATTGACCTGACCTTAGGTCACCGATATCAAAATTCCGAGATATACATTTTATAGATACTGTTACTCTTATCAATCGCTGAAAGTTTCAAAGCGATCGGTCACTCGGTGTAGCTATGACAGACATTGAAACTTTTTATGAGGTGAGGTCACTTCAAGTGACCTGGTGACCTGACCTTGAATAACCTTGGTCTGAAATTTTCACAACATGTGTAGAATTGATGTATGATAAGGTATACCAAAAACGGCGGCGCTCCGCGCCGCCGTTTTTGAGATATTGGCGAAAAACCACAAGGGGGGTGTTCAAACACCCCCCCCCCCAGCAGGGCGCGGGTTAATATTTCCCGGCTTACCTATTCGGCATTGCTCGCCCAACAACCAATACCTTCGAGGCTCGCACCAAGTTTTCATATCGATGCGCAAAATTATGTGCAGATTCTAGATAGCTGTTTGATAAAGCAATCAATTCTACACAATATGGCACTGCTGAAAAGGACAATTCTGCTATCACTTCACAGCACTATTTGTGAAATAGAAGGATGTTTCATCGTTTCGCGAGAGGAGTGGGGCCCCGCCACGAACCATGTATGCTACTCGATTGTTTGTTACCAATAAACAAAGGAATAATACGTTGGTTCGATAATCGTGTCCGGTCCGGGAATACATTTTACGGGCTTTTTAATGATACCGGCCATTCGAGGAATGAGAATGATAACTCGTCGCAGATTTTATTTTTCCTACTTGTCTTTATTTGGAGAACCATGAGCACTGCTGGCCATACCAAGCTTTTAATAATTTTTATTGGCGTGCACGATAAAATGTTGATTCTAGACAAGCATTAGATACAAAGTTCAATTCTACATAGAATGACACCAGATTCGAGGAATTATCCGCCATCACTTCATCGCACTTTTTGTGGAACAGAAGGAGTGTCGAGCCGACGTCGCATTTTAATACAATGGGTGCGTCCAGGGCGGCGTGCGATGTGTGCATATTTATTGCTTTTGCCAATAAGCAAGGCAATAGTAAATTCAATCTAGAATCATGTTTGGTACTAAATTTAACGGGCTATTCAATGCTACTAATCAATCGAAGAATTAAACTAACATCTCATCGCAGATTTCAATTTGCTTATTCGTTAATATTTCCCAGGTTACCTATTCGGCATTGCTGGCCTGGCAACAATAATCTTCAAGTTCGCACCAAGTTTTCATATTGATGCGCACAATGAAACGTAGATTCTAGATGGCTGTTCAATAAAATGCTCAATTCTACACAACATGGCACTACCGAAAAGGATAAATCGGCTATCACTTCTCCGCACTATTTGTTCAACAGAAGGATATTGCATATTTTGCGATGGGAGCGGGGCGCCGCCGGGAAATATGCATGCCAATTAATTGTTTGGTGCCAATAAATAAGGGGATAGTACATTGGTTCTAGAATCGCATCTGGGAACACATTTTACGGGCTATTCAATAATACTGATTATTCGAAGAATGAGCACGATATCTCGTCGCAGATTTCATGTGTCCTACTTGTCTTTATTTAGGGGCCCATTGGGCACTGCTGGCTATACATTCTTCAATTCTGGCATACAGCTTCTATCAATTTTTCATGGACGTGCACGATAAAATGTCGATTCTAGACAAGCATTAGATACAACGTTCAATTCTACACAGAATGACACCAGATTCGAGGGAGTATCCGCCATCACTTCATCGCACTTTTTGTGAAACAGAAGAAGTGTCGAGCCGACGTCGCATTTTAATACAATGGGTGCGTCCAGGGCGGCGTGCGATGTGTGGATATTTATTGCTTTTGCCAAAAAGCAAGGCAATAGTAAATTCAATCTAGAATCACGTTTGGTACTAAATCTAACGGGCTATTCAATACTACTTATCAATCGAAGAATGAAAATAACATCTCGTCGCAGATTTCAATTTGCTTATTCGTTAATATTTCCCAGGTTACCTATTCGGCATTGCGGCCTGGCAACAATAATCTTCGAGTTCGCACCAAGTTTTCATATTGATGCGCTCAATGAAATGTCGATTCTAGATGGCTGTTCAATAAAATGCTCAATTCTACACAACATGGCACTACCGAAAAGGATAAATCGGCTATCACTTCTCAAAGGATATTGCATATTTTGCGATGGGAGCGGGGCGCCGCCGGGAAATATGCATGCCAATTAATTGTTTGGTGCCAATAAATAAGGGGATACTACATTGGTTCTAGAATCGCATCTGGGAACACATTTTACGGGCTATTCAATAATACTGATTATTCGAAGAATGAGCATGATATCTCATCGCAGATTTCATGTGTCCTTCTTGTCTTTACGTAGAGGCCCATTGGGCACTGCTGGCTCAACACTCTTCAATTCTGGCATACAGCTTCTATCAATTTCTTATGGACGTGCACGATAAAATGTCGATTCTAGACAAGCATTAGATACAGCGTTCAATTCTACACAGAATGACACCAAATTCGAGGGATTATCCGCCATCACTTCATCGCACTTTTTGTGGAACAGAAGGAGTGTCGAGCCGAGGTTGCATTTAAATGCAATGGGTGCGTCCAGGGCGGCGTGCGATGTGTGCAGATTTGTTGCTTTTGCCAACAAGCAAGGCAAAAGTAAA